CCAAAACTAACAAAATCCTTGATCTTTAACTAACTGGCTGAGATTCCGACCAAGGTCATCAGTGTCATTTGATGGAAATGTCTTGAATGTTAATCCTGACTTCATGGTTGAATAACCATTTCAACCTAAACTAAAAAAAAACTGAGTCGAACAATCTTTAACATCATTAAATCTTAATAAAGGGTAAGAGGACTCAGAGACCTTAGTAGATATATTATGCAGTATGGTGGTTAAGACTTGTCCACAACGGCGAGAAACCTTGTCTAGTGTTATTTTAAGGTGGTTTAGATGACCTTCTCACGTGAGGTGAGAGGATGTGTATATGAATTGTGTGCTTAGGTGTAAGCGTATATGAGAATGTGATAAGTATGGCTTAAGATTTGTCCTCTCCCCCAACGGAGGAGGAATATTTATAGAGGCCTTTTAAACCAAGGGTTTGAGTAACTCTAAGGGACGAGAACCACTCCCTTCCGATCAGGAGAAATTGTTGACCACCTAACCTTTAAGAAATAGTGAGGGGCTCCCTCTCCTTTAACTAACGACATTACACACGTCATCAGTGTCAAAGACACATCCTGAGGGTATCACCCAGGCGATAGTGCTTTTGGACGAAAGCACCCTAATTTAGGACACTCACAAATTTAACACTACATCATGCAATCTTGACCTCTCAACTATCTCTCATCGTCAGATCTAATCAAACGATAATCCACACATTGTGTCAGGTTCAACAATAGTAGTTTTAATCGCTCACCATATATAAGCTCTACACTGATCTATTTAAGATATTTTTTTTTCTTTCACTATAAATCGTTTCTTAAATACTTCGAAGACTTAAATATTGAAATATTTCTATCTTTTTCCACCATATCAAATTCCCTCACCACCACACCAAAAGATCTCGCTAGAATCTGGTTCCTTATTCCATGTCAAAACATCTATGCTTTTAGATTTTAATGTGTGGATAACCTTGGATTGTACATTTACGATTCATGACAATTTGATATAGATTAAAATGTGATATAGGACAACATAAAAATTATAAAGTTAAACCTTGGACTCTCATTCTCCCATAAAATATCTATAAACATGGCCTACTCATAAACTCATAAACTCAAAAAAATATCTACATAGTGTGATTCTTCATAACCTAACAGCAAGGGGAAAATGGCTTTTTTTTAATAGAATGAAAAACAACATAATTTAATAAATGGGAAATTGCACTACTGAGTCTTTTAAAAATGCAAAACCAAACTATAAATCAGAACAAATCCAAGTAAAAAAATAAGTTCATTTCAACTCTAGTCAGTTGGACTTGCACGTGGTAGACTTGTAATTACACAGCAAATCCATGGATAGAAAGTAATTAATCAATTGAAATAGATGTTGGTGATTAAGATAGTGACGTTTTCACAAATAAAGTGAAAACAATGCAACTCATTTTTTCGTCCATCAGTTTATCCTTTCACTAGATAGTTCATGAAAAGACTTTTGAGCACGTGGCTGTTTATTCTCACGCCAACTGTCAAAGTCAACAAGCCACCTAAAGACAAAACCAACCAGCTAAGCATCATGTCGTTACGGATGGTTTCCTTGTCCACGCATTTTTTTATTTGTTTTTTTTCACATAACAGTATTAAAAATAGTACTACAACAATACAGTAAATTTGAATTTTTTTTATTTTAAAACAAATGAATCAATGCCACAATTCACAACACCAATACAAAGCTGGTGCACCAATCCAAAGAAAATACAAAAACCATAACTCTTCAAAAACAAAAACAACCTAATCACAACCAAGACGGAACCCAACCCAAAACAACAGAATACTGCAACCAAATCAGAGAACCAACCAGACGATAAGCCAAAAGGGTGCACTAGCTAGCATGGTAATTTGAATCTGATGCAGAAATCTGATTTTACACAGCTGTACAGTTTTATTGGCTGATTTTATTTGCAATCTGATCATGACCATGATGGGTCGGAAAAAATAACTTTAATTTTTATTTTATGCCAAACTTAACACAGACCGACTGATCTTAATCGGCGAGACTGCATTTGCAGGATTTTCTGACTGCAGCGAATCTTGATCCCAGAGACACAGGCACACAGGTGAAACGTCGCTAAGAACAAGTCATTAGAACAAGAATGATAATACCAACAAGAATGACAATACCGCTAAAAAACGGCTATGATTTTGGAAAGCACACCATTGTTATCACTGTCAATTTACAAAACATCATGTTCTGTTATATGAGTTCCAACGTACTACTACACATATTCAAGGCATAACAATAAATTGATAAGAATTTGTATTATTTATTCTACTACTAATAAAGCACTTCATCAACTCAAATTTATAGTTAATAAAAGAAGATCATCTAATAAAATAACTAAATATAAACAATCTTAGGAGACCTAAAGAAAAATCGTCAAATTTTATAGGTTGCCGATTCTGAGCATTGCCAATTCCCTCAAAGCAGTCAGCTGCAAAATTTCTTTCTCCGAGGATGCAAACTTGTTACTGCAAATACAATAAATAACTTTGCTTAATAGTAGTTTCAATTTCAACAACTGAGAAGTGCTGCTCTAGTTGTTTAGGCTAGTCTGGAGTTAACTAAAGATGATTAAGTTAGCACTTATAATCTAGTTGTTTAGGCTAGTCTGGAGTTAACTAAAGATGATTAAGTTAGCACTTATAAACTATGATATGTCTAAAGTCACACAGATGACAGATATGTATGTATCTTTGATTATTGAAACAATCGTTCACATCCATAAGACTATAACTTCTATTCCCAAAAGACAAGAGAACCAAAAAAAGTATTGTCAGTGCAACAATTACCTTGTGAATTTGCTTAAGCGGAAGTCTTAGTTTGGCAAAAACTACATTAAACTTCCAAACACGGTAAAATTGCATATCTGCTCAAATGTTGTTAAAAAATTTAACATACTCTATTCATCATTTTGGTTAGTACTTTAAAGAACAAAGTGTCTGGCCACAATAAACCCCAAATGGATCAAAATGCCGTTGGCATGATTGGGTTTAGAAATGAAAATGAAGCTGATATAGCTGTCAAATTCTTCTTTCATCACCCCGGATAACTTATTAAAGGAGAAGTTTTTGGTCTACACTCTCTATATCAAGCTTGTTTGGGAAGGATGGAGCTAAATGTCCATGCTGTTGTTTTTGAGTTGGATGTCAAACTTGTGGTAGAAGATTCTGTCTATTTTAAGGGGTTGTAGAGTTTTGGTGAGTCTTTACTTTGAAAAATCTAATGTTGAGTTTCCTATGAGAGAATAGAGAAACAAATGTGGTCGCTTACAATGTTAGATAAATGTGTAGCATCTTTCTTAGTTGGAATTTGAACCTTGATTCGCTGGCGCTGTAAGATACTAACCAAACTATGCTTAAACCACTACATTTGAACACTATTAATGCACAATCACAGCTCATTAACATTATAGTTTATACAATCGATAAGTACAACTGCCAGGCTGCATTTGTTAATTTCTAACTTCTAGCCAATCTCCAACCTCTTTTATCAATATGATGCCTTAAAAAAGCCATGATGAGTAAAGTAAAAAGCCTCAGCTAGGTTGCAAGCCAGACTATATCCGCAACTTCAACAATCATGGCTTTAACAAGGATAAAGCCCGGGCTAGTTGCAGTTTCCATGGAGATTATTTTCTTTTAAGACAATAGAAACCTCTACTTTTGAATTGCATGCATAAAGCTAATCTTCTATTAATCTCAGAAGCCAGAACCCAAACTTAAAACACCAAAACGTCCTCAATAGTAATCATCTGCCATGAATTTACTAAAAAAGTTACTCCTCAAGTTCTTATATTCTTACTTATAAGATCATTTTCAACTTTCATTTACAAAATTCGACATCTAACTAATGACTTATTTTACAAAAATCTTTCTATTTAAAGTACCATTGGAGAAGGTAAAGCATGTTTAGCTCTCATAATATCAACAAATATAAGGATAAATATGTAAAAGTAACAACTTTTTAACAAATTAATTACTATCACTACTTTTCTTAATATCAGTAGTAAACTATGTAAGGTCTTATAATAAGCTATCTTTGAATATCATAAAATGAACGGAGCGGAATTGAAAGAATTGAAATGGAATGAAACAAAATAGAATGGAGTGGAATGAAGATTTCAATTCATCGTAAGGCAAATTATTTGAGGAAAGATGGCAATTGATGGAATCGAATTCATACCACTCCACTCCATCCAATTTTAGGGTATGTTTGGACGGATGGAATGTGACGGAACGAAATTGAGTGGAATGAAATGGTATTGGATCAATTAAAATCGGATGGAGCAGAGCAGAATGGAGTGGTATGAATTTCATTTCCTTCCATCATTTACCATCATATTTCTTTCCTTCCGATTTGGGCGGAATGGAGAATTTGCCTTGCCTCGTCCTAAAATACCCAAACCATAGAATTGAATCTTCATTCTGCTCCATTCCATTTCGTTCAATTTCATTCCGCTCATTTCCATTCATTTCCATTCTGCTCTATTCATTTCATAATATCCAAACATAGCTCCAAACAATGAAACACCACTCCATTCCATCTCATACCGCTCCGCTCCATCTTATTCCATCAATCCAAACAAAGCTAAGTGACGGAGAGAGTACTAGTTTGCTGTTTACTCCTATGATGTTGGGGAAGCGTTATTTAAACATCCCTATTTAGATCTCATCAACTCTAAGAAATCTGACCGCAGGGATTCAGATCAACAATTGAAAGGGAGGAAACTCAACTTGTGTTCTACATGAAACAATAAAAGCAAATGAAATAATCATATAAAGAAACAATACTAAAACAACGTGTATGAATTTAAACTTCAAACCGATCCATTTACATCAGTTTAAACAATTACACTGCCTAAGTAGAAAGAAAACAACGTGTAGCGGCTAACAATTTCATAACACATAAATTAGGGTTTAATATTCAGTCACCAACCTTCTCCTTCAGTGAGCCTTCCGCCTCTGTTGTTGTTGCTTCTGAGTCGCTAATCTATAAATCCAATATACCTGCAGAAAATCGGATAAGAACACCGTGATTTGGGAATAGATAATAGCGGAAGCGTGAAAATTCAAGAAGAAAATTACTAGTCCAAGAACATGCGCTGCTATTAGAAGAACAAGAAATAAAGGTCCTGCGTCTAGTGCCCATGGTGGCGTCGATGAGTGTTGCTCTCGTGCCATTGTAGAAAACGCAAGAAATCGAAATAACCAGTGTATAGGTTTTGTTCGATCACGAGAGATCCGCCAATACGAGAGAAAACTCTGGCTCGGGTTGATAAATATGATGTTATTTTATGATTAAAATGATATTTCTAAAGTATTTTTGGTGAAATAAAATATGATTGAAAAATATAATACGAATGAATAAACAATTTAATCGATGCTAAAATACGAATGAAAAATATAATACGAATGAAAAATATAATACGAATGAATTAACAATTTAATATGTTAAAAATATTTGATTTATGAAGATTATATTAGATATTTTTGTGTTTTTATAGTTTGTGTTTTATTTTAATATGTAAGTTAAGTTAAATCTATAAATAGGGAGGAAATCTTATCATTGTAATCATCAAATTTGATAAACACAGTTGTGGGCCGAGGGTTCTCTGAATTTTCATCTTCTTCTCCAATGTTTTTTTTTTCTTTCTTCCTCAATTGTTCATTGTCATTGCGTGATAAAGTAAAAATCTTGAGATCAAGATTGAATAAGAATTCTCCATAGGTTGTGGTTGAATTTCAACATCTGGTATCTAGAGCTCCGGTTTTGATTCAAGAGAAGAACAAGTGTGATGACAATGAATCACTCGAACGGTCACTTTCCAACAAATCTACCAATTCTCAAAAAAGATAATTATGAGAATTGGTGCAAGCAAATTAAGGTGGTTTTCTGTTACCAAGATCTTTGTGAGAGATTATCATTGCTTACAGAAACTGCGACAGATCAGGAGAAAGCAACATATAAAGAATTGAAGAAGAAAGATTATAAAACTCTTTTTATAAATCATCAATGTGTTGATCCAAATAACTTTGAAAAGGTTAGTGATGTAGAATCTGCTAAAGAAGTTTGAGAGATTCTTGAAAAATCGTTTGGAGGCGCAGAGAAGGTGAAAGAGGTGAGGTTACAAACTCACAAAAGGACTTATGAATTGCTTCATATGGAAGATAATTAAAGTATAACAGATTTATTCACCAGAATTATAAAGTTGGTGAATCAAATCAAGGTATGTGGATAAGTGTTGACATCAAGATTAGTTGTGTCAAAGATCTTAAGGTCATTGGCTCCAAAATTCGACCACATGGTAGTAGTCATAGAAGAGTCGAAAGACTTGTCAGTATTGACGAAGGAAGAGCTTCAAAGGACGCTTGAGTCTCATGAATAAAGGATAGCCGAAAGAGCTGCAGGAAAGTCGAAGAGTGATATGGCTTTGCAGGCGCAATCAGAAAAAGAAAGGAAAGGCAAAGGAAGCTAGAATGGAAAAAAGGTATAGGAGGCTACAACAATACGACTTGTTGAAATCAGCATGAAAGAAACTAGTAGAATCAGAGAAAACCTTGGAATCAAGGCAACCAAAGAGGTGGTGCTGCAGGTATAGGAAGAGGTGGTGGTCGAAAGCCTCACAAAAGTCACATTTAGTGTTTCAATTGTCAGAAGTATGGTCATTATTTTAGTGATTGTCCAAAGAAGAAGAAGAATCAAGAAACTGATGCAAAATTGGCGAAATATGAAGAAGAAAAGATGTTGTTGATGGTCACAACAAGAGACGAAGAGAGATTCCAGGACTAGTGGTACTTAGACTCAAGATGCTCATCACGCATGACTGAAATGAAAGATTGGTTTGTCAACATGAAACCTTCGTCGAAGAACACGGTGAAGTTTGCAAGTGACAACACTCTAGCAGTTGAAGGTGTTGGTGATGTTCAGATCGTGAGGAAGGATGGCAAGAAATCAATAACTTCCAATGTGTTAAACATAACAGGCATGAAAAGTAACTTGCTCAGTATATGACAACTTGTCGAAAGTAACTACAAGGTAGTTGTCGAAGACAAGATGATGAGAGTTCTCGATGTAGGTAGTAGGTTGACCTTGAAGGCTCCAATGTCTCAGAATATGACCTTCAAGATTGAACTCAATATGATGGAGCACAAATGTTTAGCAACTGCAGCCAGCAGAGATGAGTGGTTATAGCATTTTCGACTAGGCCATCTCAACTTCAATCACATCAGAGAGCTAAAGAGAAGAAAAATGGCTTCATAATTACCTGAAATCAACATTCCAAGTGAAGTCTGTGAAGAGTGTGTTCAGTCGAAACAACACAAGAATAGCTTCAACAAGGATGCAGGAAGGAAGTCGAAGGCAATTCTGGAAGTCATATACTCTGGTGTATGCAGTCCAATCCAGGTGGATATGCTTGCAGGCAACAAATATTTTGTCATGCTTATAAATGATTATAGTCGAAAATTGTAGACTTATCTCATCAAGAAGAAAAGTGATGTGATCGAGGTATTTGCCAGATTCAAATATATGGTCGAAAGCTGGAAATTCTAAGGACTGGTGGTGGTGGAGAGTATGTGTTGAAAAAGTTTGATGCATTATGTGAAAAAGAATGGATTGTACATGAGGCGGTGTCACCCTACACTCCACAACAAAGTGGAATTGCAGAAAGAAAGAACATAACCATCATGAACATGGTGAGAAGTATGTTGAACGGAAACCATCTACACAAAGATTTATGGGGAGAAGCGATTTCGATAACAACATACATATTAAATAGATGTCTGACGAAAAAGCTTGAAGGAATCACACCGGAAGAATGTTAGTCTGGTGTCAAGCCTAGCCTCAGTCACTTGAAGGTGTTTGGATCTATAGCACGTAGACATGTGTCAGATCAGTTGAGAAGGAAGGTTGATAACAAGTCAAATCAGATGATCTTGATAAGATATTATTTGAATGGAGGTTACAGTTATTTGACCTAGTAAATAAGCAAGTAGTGATCAGTAGGGACGTAATCATATATGAGCTTAAATAATGGGATTGGGCTGAGAATGTCAATAAGGATACAGTGAGAATCTCTTGTGAAGAACCAACCACTAAAGTCAAAAGAGAAGTTCGATAAGAAGAAGTCAGAGGTGAAACAGGCTCAAGCAGACCTTAACGAACAAGACACATGCCTGTAAGGTTGCAAGAATATGTGATTATATTAGACGATATGGTCGATGAAAAATGTGAGCTGGTACATTATTATTTTTATGCAAATGTCGAACCAGTCAATGCAGTTGAGGCATTGAAGGATTCAAAGTGGGTGAAAGCTATGAATGAGGAGTTAGACTCCATCGAAGTCAACAACACTTAGTCACTTGTCGAATTTCCCCAAGGCAAGAAAGAAATTGATGTGAAATGGGTTTACAATGTGAAAGTGAATCCTAAAGGAGAAGTAACTCGACACAAGGCGAGACTTTTGGCAAAAGAATTTCTTCAGAAGGAAGGAAACAACTTCGATGAAGTTTTTGCACCTGTTGCTAGGATCGAAACAATCAGGTTGGTTGTTGGTATAGCAAACATGAACAAGTGGCACACATGTCAGATGGAAGTTAAATGTTCATTCTTGAATGACCCCTTAGATGAAGAAGTTTATGTCACACAACCAGCTGGATTTGTGAAACAAGGTGAAGGAAGAAAGGTGTACAGACTGCATAAAGCTCTGTATGGACTTAAGCAAGCTCCAAGAGCTTGGAATAAGAAGATCGACAACTTTCTAAGGGGGAAGAAATTTGTGAAGTGCACGACTGAGCATGGAGTATATGTAAGGAGAAGTAATAGTGAATTGCTTATAATATGCCTATATGTCGATGACCTGTTGATAATAGGAAGTTGCAAGAAAGAGATCAAAGATTTCAAACATGACCTAAGTGAGGAGTTTAAAATGTCAGACTTGGGAAATCTCTCATATTTCCTTGGCATCGAATTCTGCTAGAGTGGTAGAGGTTTGATGATGCACCAAAGAAGATATGTAGGAGAAATACCCAAGAGATTTAAGATGCAAGATTGCAACCCAACTTAGACTCCAGCTGAGACCAAATTGCAATTGTCAAAGGATTCAGATGAAGATGATGTCGATCCAACCCAATATAGAAGACTTATTGGGTCACTTAGATACCTTTATCACATAAGGCTTAACTTAACATACAGTGTGGGTATGGTAAGTAGATTCATGCAGAAGCCAAAGGTATCACACCTAGCAGCAACGAAGAGGATATTGAGGTATCTTAAAGGAACTCTCGATAACGGTATTTTTTTCCTGCAGCTGATGAAGGAAAAGAATGCAAGATAGTGAGATACACTAATTCAAATTGGTGTAGTGATGTTGAGGATAGAAAATCCACAGCTGACTACGTGTTTATGTTAGGTGGTGCACCAGTTGCTTGGAGTTCGAGAAAGGAGTCAGTAGTTCCATTGTCATCATGTGAAGCAGAATATATAGATATTTCTCTTTGTGCATGTCAAACAACCTGGATGGTGAATCTGGTCAAAGAGATTATAGGGAAGAGTCATTGAGCAATTACCATGAAGATCGACAGCATGTCAGCTATCAACTTGGCGAAGAATCCAATAGCACACGATCGAAGCAAACACATCGAAATGAGGTTCCAATACCTTCGAGAGCAGGTAGCAGAAGGAAAGATGAAATTGGAACACTACATAACTGAGAATCAGATTGCAAACATCATGATAAAGGGAGTGTCAGTCGAAGTGTTAAAGAAGTTAAGGTCTATGATGAATGTAGATAGTTTAGACACAATAAACTAAGTGGTGTGTTAAATATGTAATTCATTGTTTTAGAAAAAATAGATTTGATTAGATATTTTTGGGCTTTATAGTTTGGGTTTTAACTTGAGATGCAAGTTAACACTACATAACTGAGAATCAGATTGCAAACATCATGATAAAGGGAGTGTCAGTCGAAGTGTTAAAGAAGTTAAGGTCTATGATGAATGTAGATAGTTTAGACACAATAAACTAAGTGGTGTGTTAAATATGTAATTCATTGTTTTAGAAAAAATAGATTTGATTAGATATTTTTGGGCTTTATAGTTTGGGTTTTAACTTGAGATGCAAGTTAAACCCATTTCACATTGAAGGATTCAAAGTGGGTGAAAGCTATGAATGAGGAGTTAGA